GCAGCAGGGGGTGCGATCGCGAACAGCTTCTGACAGGAACGCACAAAACGCACACAAAACGCAGACACTACATTACATTACTGTCACGTAGCAGACGCTGTTATTCAGAGCGACTTCCATAGGAGAGAATTTCATCCACAGCTGGGTGTTTTACTGAGGTAATTGTGGGTTAAGTACCTTGCCCAAGGGTACAACAGCAGTGCCCCAGTGGGGAATCAAACCAGCAACCTTTTTGCTACTGGTCTTTACCACTACACCGCATTGCTGCCTCCCAGTATCTGATCTCAGACAGGCCATTTTCCTTTGGCTCAGAATGAAGCAATGACATTTTTGTGAGTGTGATATTGCCACAGGAAGGGACAGGCGAGGGATGAGGTTGAGTTTTCAGAGGCCGTAGATTGCCGGAAGCTGTGGGAGGCAGTGAGTCTCTCACCTGACAGCCTGACAAAGGTCCTGTTTTAGGACATCGCGCTGCGCAGATTCACTGATCTCAACCTCTTCGACGGTTGGTCTCACATACTCTTTTCACTGCTCCATACCAGTTGCATACCAAACAGATCAGCAAACCTTGTGCAGCATAATAGCCCCGAACTAGGCATGTGCATTTGATTCATCTGATATTTGGAATGTCCGGCTACCAAGACCAAATATTCAAACAATTCCCCTAAACACTATTAAAAACAAGGGCTCATCCTGCGTAAATGATCTCTCACTGCAAACGGCCTCTGGTAGTTCTTGCAGCTCTATTCCAGTTATTGCTTTTCAGCGATTTTTACTCCTGGGATATGCATTTCACGTTTAACGCCATATTAGCCTAGATAGCTAGCTAGCCAGCTCTGGACACACACATCCACCAAGTACACATGGTGCAGATGCATTGCTGACACTGAAGATTTCCTTTATGAAGACTTGATCAATATATGTTCCCCTTGCTGGAAAAAGGAGGGATGGCTGACCAGGCCAGCCGTCTCTCCCAGTGTCACAGCCTACCACAGCGTGTCCCTGGCAAAGGCAGACACCGCGTAGATTAGCGCTCTGCTGATCATGTGCAAATCTCATCTAGTTTAATTACCTTAAGGACTGAGGGTGTTGAAGGACACCCTGCATTGTCTGAGCGCACCACTGGACTCTGAACGCTAAGGGCCTAGTACCCTGGGAGAACATTGTCAGAACTCCTTATGAAGAAGGCAAATGCAAAGTTTATGCCTCTTTTGGCTTTTAGTTTTCTATTCTCTTAAACCTACCTACCAGTCTCGCCCCCCCCGAGCAAACCACTCGCAAAAGGTAACTTGAAATGATGATTGCCCCATCACAGAAACATCTGCATCCAAACAGGAAAGCAGGACAAGGTACATGCCATCCCTCTATACACATGCAAGCCAATACAGGTCCTTTTCACACTACAACTCCCACAGTGCACTAGGAGGCAGAGACCAAATGCCGGACATGTGCACCCCCTCTGATGCTACCCTGGCCGAACTACCTATGCCTATTCATGGTGGAACAAAGCCACTTGCTGTTGCCCATGACAAGAACATGCACCTTTACGGTCTGAGCCACTCAGAAGGCCCTTCAATTATTTTCAGTTATTTTTAAGACATATCAGCGTAAGTCTTCATTAGTGTTAGACTTCCTGGGGTGAGTTTTCAGGAATGACATTCATCACATTGTCAATTAGTTTGATTTTTAGCAATGCAGTGGCTTATCGCTTGTTTGCATTTCATTCAATGTGTTTTAAAGGATCCTGAAAAATCTTTAGAATTATTTTATTTTAATAACATGTTTTGTTTTAGTCAGTTTTAACAGTTCCCCAAAACATTGCTGGATAACTATGTTAGACTGAGCCAGGCCCTTACAAGTCATTCTTGCTTCATTGTGATGCATGGAGACATTTGACACTCCTTTTTCCAATTGAAGGAAACAAGTGAGCCTCAGATCACACAGACCAGTGCACTTAGCAACAAGTTTTACCACTCTCTCACAAATCTGTGTAGATTCACCATCAGTCCGATTACGGCTGCCAACAGTCTCCGTGCTTCATGCATGAGGAGAGAACGCATCTGGGCAAATAATGTGGCAAGTCTGTGCCGTGACTTTCTCAGCTGCTGGCGATCAGGGGGCGATTTTCCACCGACTAATCATTACTAAGCACCTTATGAAAACTGGTTTTGGAGGGGGGGAACTCAGAGAGACCAAAACGAGGAGAGGGAGCAAAGCATGCACAGCACACACTTTACAGCACATCCACCCGTCATCCCATTTCAGATTCAACGCTGGAGACAGCGCTCTGAGGCAGGTCATCACCACCACAGTCAGAGCCGGTTATTTTTAGCAGGCAGAGATTGGAGAGGAGCGCGACGGCACTGGCAGAAGGGCTCCCGTTTTCGCTCTCTATCCGTTTTCTCCTTCCTGCGTGAAGAGCACAAAAGCAGGTCATTTTCACTCCGAAACAAACACGGCCGTCGCTGGAACAGAGCAGAGGGGGGACACAGGCGGGAACACACAGCAAAGCCGAAAAACAAATCACTGAAGCGGGAAAAGAATAGCAGGGTCATAAGAACCGAAATTACAGGTCCGTTCTTTCCGAATACACGCCAAACTACTAACATTTCCCACATTGGATTTTCCTCCATACCAAACAAGCTGCTGTATGTTTGACCAACTCCTAAATGGTACTCCTCCATGCCCATTCATTCAGCCATTTCCTTTGGAATTCAGTTTTGACCATTAATAATTGACCACAGCTGAAACGTAATTAAGTGGGGGGGAGGTTTCATGTTTACTGGCATCCACTAAGACCCTATGCATAATAATGAGAACAGGTCATTCACCCCATTTTAGCTGGTCATTTGCCTCATCCCAAGAGTGAATCCAGCTCTATATCACTGTAAAATCTCTGCAGCTGGACTGACAGCAGCACTGTGCATTTTGGGATCAGTTGCCACCTGTTTCTTATGGTGAACTTCGCTTACATTATATTACATTACATGCATTTAGCAGACATTCGCATCCAGAGCGACTTCCAGAACAACAGAACATCATATCCAACAGTGTATCCATTTAAGTTGAATGAGCAACAGTATTAGACCAGGCTAACAACACTCCCAGGCACAACGCCATTCAAGCCCTACCACACGTTAACTTGTACAATCTGACTAGGCAACGGAAGCCCAGTATACTACGATACATCAGTTTATGCTGCAGTATGTTAGGCAGTCATCGTTCTGCAAACAGACGGCAGCTCTGCCATTGGCTCCCACAACAAACACAATGTTCTATGTTTTTTGGTTAATTCAATGACTACCATCTGAATCCTGGGTGAAAAAAAAAGCACAAAGAGGGGAAAAAAGAGTGGGAGGGGGTCTGTGGGGTCCTACAGCAGCTGAAAGAGTGGGATGCTCAGGCCTGGCACGGTGGGGGGTGGAAAGAGGGGGCGCTGCTCTGACGTTTTTAAGTGCCCTCCCGTTCCAGGCTCTGTAACACAGTCATCCCACTCACTGAGAAAGCACCACAGCGAGGACAAGCCCAGGGTAGGGACCTGGGCACCTGCTTGTTTGATATTGAAATGTCCTACAGCTTCCAAGACTGAATATTCAAATGGCTGAGCCCTGCCACACGCCCCCCTCCCAAGCGAAGAGCAAAACTCCGGTTTTCTGGGTGAATAATGACTCAGAGCGATCCACATTTACTCACACTCTCAGACAGGAACATAAATAATAATCAGGGGATTATCTGCTATTTTATACAGGATTCTCAGGCCCTGCTTCATGACTGCTGAGGAGAAAGAACACAACTGGATTTTTCTTTTCTTTTCTTGTTATGTTAATTAACAAGCATTTCAATGATGAGCCGAGCCAGCAGTTGGTGACCTTATTCACTGAGCATATGAATGATCAAATGTGAGATTTCTTCGCCGGCACAGGTTAATTGAACCCATCGCGCTGTTTCCTGGTGCACTCCCGTTCCTCGCACCGTGAGCTGGCGCCTCTCCTCAGTAAACAAAGGACCATCTCGCTGAGGGACGAGTATTCATGCATTTACATAAAGGGCCTCATTTGCTCTTCAAAAGGCAATTTGTTTTGGCAACACATTTGTTGTGACATGTAAAAATGCCTGTTAACAGCCTGCGATGACGGATGGTCTACACTAAACACTCAGCGCTCTCTTCTCTGAAGATTTCCACCGCACTCTTTCCCTGCGATGAGGGACGTCCGCATTCAAGTCTCAGTCAAACTTGTAGTCTTGATGACGTTCCAAAAAGACAACAGAAAATATATTTAAATCTTTGTTCTTTCTTCTGAATTAGACTAGTCATACATGCATATTGATGTCAAGCTTGAAATGCACTTGGCATACTAAATATCACTTTATTAACAAATGACATTTCACATTTAACTTGAATGAATGATGCAACAGCAATCATTTATAAGTTCAGGACAAGTTTGATAACTAGTTATTCAGCTCTGCATGCCATAATTTCTAATACTAAGAAGGTTCTGGTTGGAAATAGGAGGTTCTGTAGCTGTCCACATTGCTAGGGTCACGATGGATATTCTCTCTTCAAACACGTGTCCTCATGAATATTCATAAAGGGCCAGCAAATCAGAACTCTTGTCTTCAACAATTGTACAGACAGTATTTTCACCATTAAATACAGAGATGAATACCTGATAAGCAAACACAATATCTGTGGTTCAGTCATACCGTAGGTAATATTCTAAAGAGAGTCTGTTAATCCAGTCTTGTCTTGCTAGGTCTCAGACACCCCGTCTCAGATAGCGGATAAATAGAATAATGGCATTGTCACTGACTGCAGGCCATGAAGCCTTTTATCTGTGGCTCCAGCTTTGTCAGACCCTCAAGGATGGAGACTCTTTTTTTAAATGCTGTCATTTTATTTGGCAAAACAGACTGAAAATTAGGAATAAATTGGACTAAATATGTTGGGGGAAAAAAAAATTATCATTAAAACAGACTTTTCCTGCTGTCTACTTGTGCATGGTAGTGTAGCACAGTGGTAAGGAGCAGGGCTTGTAACCAAAAGGTTGCTGGTTCAATTCCACCACCATTGTACCCTCAGGAAAGGTACTTAACCCAAAATTGCCCTGGTATATATCCAGCTGTTCAAATGGATAACATGGAAAAATTGTAATCTATGCAAGTCACTCTGGATAAGAGTGTCTGCTAGATGACAATAATGTAAAAAATGTACTTAAATGTTAAATTAAGGCAGAAATGTCCATTCAATCTGCATCCAGGGTAATGGTTCAACAACGCCCTTAATTTTGATTTAGCTCATTTTTTTAATGGCTGCCATCAGAGGCAGGCCCAGGCACACAAACATCCTGGCAAGACTGCTGGCAGATGACAGGCCATCTTTATGGGTTTGTATTAATCATTAGGCGATCGCCCGCCACTGTAGGGTACAGTGAGCAGAGACACAGGGAGATCTTCTCAGCCCCCTTTTCCTGGCGTCAGGGAATGTGTTCACCCAATAAATTTCCCCCCCTTTGGCTCTGAACCCCCGTGGGGAAGAGGCGAGAAAAGACACCCTATCCATCTGTGTGTGACGTGATTGTAAAAATGCCAGATTACAAATAAACACTGGCTGATTAACTGGGATAAATCCACTGCGTCTGAAACATGGCCGCCAGTCCCAGCCTCTGACAGCGTTTCCCCATCACCTTCCTCAGCCTTGGCAGGGGGCCCCTGTCACCAGCAGTCTCCTGGGCCTCACCTCCTCCTCGGCTGAGACTGATCAGTCAACACAGCCGGTGGCTATTCAGCTCCCTACTGAGTGTCCCCAAAGAAGCTGTCAGCTTATTACTGGTAACTATTGTTCGTAGGAAGAGCTGGAGTTACAGCTGATACAACATGCAGGATTCGTTATTTAAACAGAAATACATTATCCTCTCCATTATACCCCACTCCTGTGGGACAGAAAACATAAGAGAAGATTATATACAAACAACAGTAACAAGATAGAAATAATGAAACTACTGTTTGTGACAGCATTCAGGCTTTGATTTAATTTGCATGACTATCTCCACTAATAAACTCCAAGAATCACCATGATACCTATCATTAGAATGCCTATGCTGGACATGCACAAGAGCAAGACAAGCGCAGTGTTCTCAGTATTTTTTTCTTTTTTAGATTGGGGGGTGGGGGCAGTTGGTGGCTAATCTGCAACTCCATAACAAGAGAACAGACATTAGTCGAATACTGACGTATAGCCTAAAATAAACACAAGAACACATATGGCCAGTTCAAAACCCTTTGACACCCTATACCCATAGCATAGAGACATGGCTGGGGTGGTGCATCTAGCCACAGAATGTCCAGCAGAAGAAATTTAGGTAACACTGCTTTTGACAGTACCCAGTACACCCTTTTGTTTTCACATTAGAAAGTGAACTAATATGAAAGATGCACCCTTTATGACAACATGTAAACCAGGAATCAATTTGCAAATGAGTTTCAGAGATATAACCAGGGCATTTAGCCAACATGATATAAAATCTGTCGCTAAGGAGCATACTAATCTGAAGTCCACCAATTAGACAGCACCTGTACTTCTTAATTGTTACTGTTCTCTGCCAATTCAATAAAGTCATTTTGGCCAGTAGTGGGAGTCCTCCTCATGTAAATGTTTTCAGGCTTTTATATGGGAGTGGAAAACATGTCAGACTCCTATACAAGGCGTGTACCTGTTTTTAATTTGCTTTCCAGCAGTTAACATACTATAGAATGTGATACAGTATATTATTGCCTGAATGGGTACATCACACTGACAGCCACTCTGCCTCATTCACCCTATCATGTAAAATTATATTACATTATTGTCATTTAGCAGACGCTCTTAGCCAGACCTACATAGGTTACAATTTTTACATGTTATCCATTTAAACCAGAATTGCCTCAGTAATACCCAGCTGTATAAGCCCTGCTCCTTACCACTATGCTACAGTGCCACTCCAAACATATGCTTGCATTGTTTTTGATTGATTTCTATCAGTGGTTTAAGTTGCACACATATTGAGGGTACAACAAGACACATGTAACTTTCAACAAATGAATGATGAGTGAAATATGTTAATTAGAATAAAGCACTCATTTAGGCCTATGTTGGACAGTGTCACTCAGTTGTATCGGAAAGAAAATATGACAGTGATTCACTCCATTGACAGAAGACTGCTTTAATATCACACAGGGCCGCACACAGACCTGAACAAATGTGAAACTGAAATGAAATAATAAAAAAAACCTCACCAGATATTCTCTGGACACGATCAGAAATAAAAATAGGCATCTCACGCCTGCGACTCGGGCTCTGTGAGAGAGTCCCCGGGGAGGGAGGGAAACGGCAGCTCGCAGCTGTCGGGTCGGCCAAACCTGTCACGCACGCGCCTCACCTCGCTTTCACAGCACGCACTGGGAGAGAGGCTGGCCCCTACGCCGAGTGGCGCCAGCCGTCCCCGCCGCTCCGTCTCAGACCCCGGTCCGCCCTCCTCACGGTACACCTGTACGCTCTGCGCCGTGGGATGACCCCAGCCCAACCCCCGTTAATCCCCACAGGGATTACTCCTAAAGAGCCGTCACACGGGATCTTTGCATGGTCTATCCCCAGTAATTAGCGGTGCCCTTGGGAGGCCTGTGGAGGGGTCGGAGCAGGAGAGGCGAGGCTGTCGCTGTAAAGCACGCCCCCCAAATGGCCCGTCCTGAACTCTGCCATTGTTACCACCTGAGTATTTCATTTCAGTTTCACCTCTGTTTAGCCCTGTGTGATATTACAGCAGTCTTCTGTCAATGGAGTGAATCACTGTCATATTTTCTGTTGATACAACTGACTGACACTGTCTAAACCTCCAACCCAAAGTAGTGCTTTAGTCTAATTACCATACTCAATGGGGCGGCTGTGTGGCATAGGGGTACTCGTAACCGAGTTGCTGGTCCGATTCCCCACTGCAGCACTGCTGCTGTACCCTTGGGCAAGGTACTTAACCCACAACTGCCTCAGTAAATACCCAGCTGTATAAATGGATAACATTGTAAAAACCTGTAACTGTTCTAAGCCGCTCTGGATAAATGTAATGTAACATACTTCATTCGTCATTCATTTGTTGAAACAGAAAGTTACATGTCTGTTGTACCCTCAAAATGTATGCAACTTACACCACTGATAGAAATCAACCAAAAACAATGTTATATGATGCAGTAAATGAGACAGTATTCAGTATTCAGTTCAGTATTCAGCCCTTTCCCACCTCACCTCGCAAAAAACCCCAGACAAGGTGGGGCGCTCGGAGACACTAAATATTTCCCAACCGCTGGTTCCTAGAGGCACAAGTCGAGGCCTGCCCTCCAGAAAGGCAAGGCTTGCCTGTGTGCTCTCCATTTCAACACTGTATGCTTTGTCACACTCAGGCAGTGCACACTGGTAATGCAGGACAGTGATCTAACTGGGTTTAAAAAAAAAAAAAAAAACATTCAAATATACTTTCGCAATTAAAAAATACCAGACACTGGTGAGACACTGAGTAGGTGGAGAGTGACCTAGGAATTGAATGTATGTACTTAGAAGTATTATTATTGCAAAGGAATGTGAAAATTGAACTTCCTGAAAGAAAAAAAAAAAATATCTGAAGGCTTACTTATCAGGAAGCAATTATATTTTCACACTTCTTCCTCGAAGACATACCCACAGATTTTTTTCCCTATCTGAGAGCATCAAAGGGATGTTTAACTGAACATAAAACAGCAGCACCAGCTGAGAGTACGATGGTAAATTCCTCCCTGTTTACCTCCAAACCTCTAAACCTACTGGCTCCCAGTAACAAGGCTGACCGGTCCTTAGCCGTTTAGTAGGACCATGTGGCCTAAGTCTGTGAAAGGTCAAAGGATTAGGAGTGACACAGGCTACGCGTTTCCGTTGTAATCGGCCTTGAGCCGCCTCGTGCGACACTCCCGCGCACCACTTCCTGCGCACGGTGACCTGCTCGCAAAACCGCATCAGAGGAACAGGATGCTGCAGCACAGGGTGTCATCACTTTCGAACGACACTTCAGAGCTCTGCTAAAGACGCCGCCTCTCAGATTTACTGGCGTCTCACGCGCCGGCCAGGACATTTTACTCTCTTTACTTTTAACAGCGCCGGCTCGTCAGGACAACTTTATTACTGTAATAATAAACCGCAAACTGCGCCACATTCAATTCCTTGAAAATCACAATGGGGGAAAATGATTTAATTTGGTTTTAATGACACCCCCCACCTCCCCTCCTTTCCTCCCCTGGGGGAATGATTCTGTGCTTTTGTACAGCCTTTCCATTTGGCACGTTAGCAGGCGCTGAAGAGAGCCAACACTGTTGGCCTGCAAATGTTCATAGAACTGCTGGGATGTTCGCTATATAAACATTCAAGGGCTTAAATGCTGCCATTTCATTCTGTTTTCTCTTAAACCTTTAAAAGGAAAAGGAGCCTTTTAAAATAAATATTTCATACTGTGGAACGTGAAAGCCACAACGGGGACGTGTCACAGACATTAGCCTGTGTTTAAAGTAAACACAAGCTACCAATGGTTAGCAACTGTCAGCAGGACATGGTACGCGAGGTCTTGCATCTTACAGCACAGGCACTCAGCTTTAAGTATGTGGTCAGAGCACGCTCTGCTCAACCACAACGCGATTAATAAGTTGCTGATTCGTTTTAAATAGCTGTGATGGTGACACGGGGAAAGTAGGTTAGGAGATTAAAGGAAGCCACTTACCATGTTAGTGATGTCTGGGTAGGCGGACTCCACCAGCACGCCTCTGTTCGTGGACACGTAGTCGACCAGCTCGTTGAGGGTGGCCCGCTTGACCTCTTTGCTCTTCAGGTCTGTGACCGAGTCCATGAAATCGAACAGCATGCAGCACTGCTGAAGCTTCTGAGTGAAGAGCTCCTGCTGTTCTGTGGAAGGGGCATCTGAACAGCAGAGAGAGACAGAGACACAACTGGTCAAGGCCTAAGGATCCGGCCACATTTTTACATCACAGCCTTTTACATCACAGAACATCGGTCAAATATATCAA